CCCGTCTGGAGGCTTGCCTTTGCCCGCGCTACACCCGTCTGGAGGCTTGCCTTTGCCCGCGCTACACCCGTCTGGAGGCTTGCCTTTGCCCGCGCTACACCCGTCTGGAGGCTTGCCTTTGCCCGCGCTACACCCGTCTGGAGGCTTGCCTTTGCCCGCGCTACACCCGTCTGGAGGCTTGCCTTTGCCCGCGCTACACCCGTCTGGAGGCTTGCCTTTGCCCGCGCTACACCCGTCTGGAGGCTTGCCTTTGCCCGCGCTACACCCGTCTGGAGGCTTGCCTTTGCCCGCGCTACACCCGTCTGGAGGCTTGCCTTTGCCCGCGCTACACCCGTCTGGAGGCTTGCCTTTGCCCGCACAGGGATGACCATGTATTTGGACACAGCCGCTGGTCCCAATTTAGCAGGAGCTCGGGTGCGGGCATGTCTCTCTAAATGCACACTGCCTCTATTTGGGGGTGACACGTACCCACTTGGCTGTCGGATTGGGACCAGAGATTGTGTTCGTGCGACCACTGCGCCCCAATGGACATGAATGGGACTGCTGCCTGCAGTTGCACGGAACACCTTTGCATCTCATGCAGGCAAAGATGGCTCTTTGCACAGGTGTGTGCATAAGTTTGATTGATGTGTGCGAACAGCCAGTTTTATACCCTGGACAAATAAATGGCCAGTACTGCCGCTGTTCATATGTAACCGCTCTTGCGACTGGGGCCCCTGACCGGTCCTGGATGCAGACAGTTTGCACCCAGCGCTGGTGGTCTCTAGCTGCATACATCGCTGCGAATTGTCCGCTTTGTATGCGGCTGAAGCACAGAATAATGCTGCATGTTTATCAGCGTCACATCCATATGGAGCAACTTGATCACCAGTGTGAAGGAGGCCTAAACAAATGTGAATGAGGCCTAAACGTAGGCATATGACTGCCCATGTGAATGAGGCCTAAACGTATGCATATCACTGCCCATGTGAATGAGGCCTAAACGTATGCATATCACTGCCCCTGTGAATGAGGCCTAAACGTATGCATGTCACTGCCCGTGTGAATGAGGCCTAAACGTATGCATATCACTGCCCCTGTGAATGAGGCCTAAACGTATGCATGTCACTGCCCATGTGAATGAGGCCTAAACGTATGCATGTCACTGCCCATGTGAATGAGGCCTAAACGTATGCATGTCACTGCCCATGTGAATGAGGCCTAAACGTATGCATGTCACTGCCAGTGTGAATGAGGCCTAAACGTATGCATGTCACTGCCAGTGTGAATGAGGCCTAAACGTATGCATGTCACTGCCAGTGTGAATGAGGCCTAAACGTATGCATGTCACTGCCAGTGTGAATGAGGCCTAAACGTATGCATGTCACTGCCCCTGTGAATGAGGCCTAAACGTATGCATGTCACTGCCCCTGTGAATGAGGCCTAAACGTATGCATGTCACTGCCCCTGTGAATGAGGCCTAAACGTATGCATGTCACTGCCCATGTGAATGAGGCCTAAACATTTGTACAGTATGCCACTGCCACAAAAAGTTTAGAGCTCCGTTTACAAGAAGCTACTTATTGCTCTACGTTTAGGCTAGGTTCACATCTGTGCGGGTAGTGCCGCTGCGGATCTGCACGAAAATCCGTGCAACCGCACAGAGAAATGCGGACCCGCGGGCGGGTGTCATTAGTTCTAATGGCACGCCACCCGCACTGGAAGACGCAACCGTACTGGGAACCGAGGTTCCCGTGTGAGCTGCGTTTTCGGAAGAAGTGCAGGGACTTCTTCTCTGCGTGTCCCGGGCCACGGGAGTCCATTCAAATAAATGGGCTCTCGCGCCCGTGCAAAATGTGTGTCCCGCAAGGCCACATATATATGAATCGAGGCTTACACACTATCGCCTTCACATAGTCCCCTTGCACAGCCATACAGCGTTCCTGCCACTTCTGGAATGTGTCCTGAAAGTCTTCTTTTCGAAGCGTGTCGAGCACCTTCTGCTATCCTCGCTGGATCTCTTCGTTGTTGTCAAAACGGCGACCTTTGAGCTGGATATCCTCTTCAGGAAGAGGGCGAAGTCCGCAAGAGCCAAATCTGGTGAGTCAGGTGGGTGCGGAAGTTAGATCATTGCAGCCTGGGGACCAACTTGGCAGCAACACACGACGCACGTAAGGATTGCCTGGACTGTTCCGCATGACACACGGACAATGGCAGCGATGTTGTGCATTGTTCTCTGACGATCATCATGCACATGTTTTCAAATGGTTTGGACAATTTCGGGGGGTTGAGCTCGTTTGAAGGTCTTCCTGATCTCTTGTCGTCTTCCAAGGACGTTCTTCCACTCTTGAAGCGTGCGTGCCGCTCATAACACCTCGAACGTCTCATTGCAGCATCACCGGAAACTTGCCGAATCATGTCCGACTTCTCTGTGGCACATTTTCCCAGTTTCACGCAGAATTTCACGTTTGCTCTCTGTTCTAACTTGCTGTCCGTGATGAAATCGCAGACGTGGTCATGCACGTGGTCAGAATAGCACCAGTTGCACAGCTCTCGATGTACACAGGACAATAAGCTCCACGAGCAGGGCCCTCATATTCCTTTTGTACTGAAATGTATTGTATTTGTACTGTCTCCCTTATGTTGTAAAGCGCTGCGCAAACTGTTGGCGCTATATAAATCCTGTATAATAATGTCTTTTGGCACACTTATGAAGGTAAACTTTTTGATACCACCTTGTATGTCGCAGCAGGCATGAATGAGGCCTAAATGTATGTATGTCACTACCAATGTGAATGAGACCTACATGTATGAACTGTAAATCACTATTAATGGGAATGAGGTGTAAATGTACAGTATGCCACTGCCAGCATATGTGAGGCCTAAACATATGTCACTGCCAATGTGAATGAGGCCTAAATGTGTACAGTGTGCCACTGCCAGCATGGGTGAGGACTAAACGCATGTATGTCACTGCCAATGTGAATGAGGCCTAAATGTATGAACTGTAAATCACTATTAATGTGAATGAGGCATAAATGTCTGCATATCACTGCCAAGGTGAATGAGGCCTAAACGCATGTATGTCACTGCCAGCATGGGTGAGGCCTAAACATATGTATATCATGGCCAGTGTGAATGTGGCCTAAATGTGTGAACTGTATGTCAATGTGATTGAGGCCTAAACGCACGTATATCACTGCCAACGTTAATAAGACCTAAACGTATGTACATCACTGCCAATGTGAATGAGGCCTAAACGTATGTACATCACTGCCAATGTGAATGAGGCCTAAACGTATGTACATCACTGCCAATGTGAATGAGGCTGTAGGTACTGTAATGGCAGTGCCAGCATGAATGATGCCTCAATGTATGTATGTATGTATGTCACTGTCAATGTGATTGAGGCCTAAACGTATGTACATCACTGCCAATGTGGATAAGGCCATATGTATGTCACTGCCAACATGGGTGAGGCCTAAACCTATGTATGTCACTGCCAATAGGAATGAGGGCTAAATATGTGCATGTCACTGCCAGTGTGAATGGGGCCTAAACGCATGTATATCACTGCCAATGTGTATGAGGCTGTAGGTACTGTAATGGCAGTGCCAACATGGATGAGGCCTAAACATATGTTTAGCACTGCCAGTGTGAATGAGACCTAAACCGGCATCTCTGACCAGTCAGCTAGGTCCTGACCATATACATTTGTAGGTAAACCTCCATTACTTTGTCCCGGGTGTGACCAGGTTCAGTGCTGCACAGTTGGAAAGGAACGCTCTGCAGCCTCTAGTTCAGTATGGCGGAGCGAACATCTGATTATGGTTGCTATGGGCAGCAGGAGTCAAACATGTAATAGACCTTTCTCAGGCCCCGAGTGCGGCATGCTGCGCGTTGCCACAATTTCCTGTGTGCGAGGGAACCTATAAAGCAGGAAACCGATATCTGTCTTGTGAGAAGCAAAACCCGCGTTGCGATAAGTCAGAAGCCATGTACAGATTGCTTTTACTTTTTATTCTGTTGTAGCTGATTAATCCGTAGTCATTGCGCCCTTTTTTTTTTTTTTTTTTTTTTTTTTTTTTTTTTTTGGAAACAAACACAGATGGCTTCCTTTTCTTTTATACAAATACTGGTAGCTTCCTTTTTCTGAGTTTATTTGGAAAATGCTAATTTCCTGGCTGTCTGTAGATTCAATACTTGAGTAACTGATCTGGAACAAGAATGTCCCAAGTGAAGTCGGATCTCCTGGACAGCATCCTTGTTGTGGTTGGTGACTGAGAACGTGTTGAAGCCATGTAATCGGCATGACAGCCAGGCAGCTTGTATTTTCAGAAGCAATGTGTGTCCGTCACAAATTTTCTTTAGACCTCCGATGCTGCAGCATGGAGTTGCTGTGAGTTGACCATTAGTGGGAGGCTGGGCGTGGGCTACCTATCCCTTGTAGGTTTGGGGTGGCCATGTTTCCAACTTACAGTGCCTTGAAAAAGTCTTCATAGCCCTTGAAATGTTCCCCATGTTGTCACAACCAAAAATGTAAATGTATTTATTGGGATTTGATGTGATAGACCAACACAAAATGGCAAATAATTGTGAAGTGGAAGGAAAATGATCAATGGTTTTTAAAATATTTTACAAAATTGAGGGGGAACAGAGGAAAGGACCAATGTAGCCCATATGCACAGCCGTCATTGTGGGGAAAGTTTTAGAAAGTTGAATAGTACGGGGGAAGGGTTACTTGTTCATACGTTCTGCTTCCTGCACAGGTGACCACACAAGAAGTGAGGAGAAGTCACCCCAACCATTAAAAATTCAACAAAAGCTCGTAAGGAGTCTGCCTGTCAGTTTTATATGTGATCCCGGTGGCTGCTGCAGCCACCGAATTGTGTATAAAACCCCCACTGTCAGGTCCATATGACGTACAGACCTGACGGCGAAAGAGTTCAAGCTGAACTCTGTGCACAAAAACCTTTGTTTTAAATATATTAAACACTTCTGGACCGCACTATAGTAGAAATACTGCTACAGGGCAGCATGGGTGTGCAAAATCACGTGTGTGTATGTGTGTGTAAAATATGTGTGTGATTTTTGCATAGCAGAGCCATACAAAGCAGTGTGCTTACAGTGTAAAATGCACACAGTTAACCCTTTGATCGCCCCAGATGGTAACCGCTTCCTGCCCAGTGCTAGTAGTACATTGTCAGAAAAGGGAGAGTTCTGTGTGTAAACAACACAAGCCTCTCTCCTGCCAGCATGGACATGCTGCTTTGTATCACTCTGCACAGCATGTCTCCTTAGTAAAACGCACACAGTTAACCCTTTGATCTCCCCAGATGTTAACCCTTTCCTGCCCAGTGCCATTAGTACAGTGTCAGTGCTTTTTATTAGCACTGATCACTGTATTGGTGTCACTGGGGATGTCAGTGACACCAAGTCAGTTCCCCCCAGTGTCAGAATGCCCGCCGCAGTCCTGCTATAAATCACATCGCCACCATTACTAGTAAAAAAAAAAAAAAAAAAATTCCAGTGTCTATACCGCCATTTGTAGATGCTATAAATTTCACGTAAACCAATTAATTTACACATATTGGGATTTATTTATTTTTTTAGTAAACATGTGAAGCAGAATACAGTTTGGCCTAAATTTATGACAATTTAAATTTTTTTAATTTTTTTTACTGGACATGTTTTTAATAGCAAAAAGTAAAAAATATATAAATGACATTTTGTTTTCAAAATTGTTGGCCTTTTTTTGTTTGTAGCACAAAAAATAAAACCGCACAGGTGATCAAATACCACCGAAAGAGAGCTATTTGTGGGAGAAAAAAAAGGACATAAATTTCATTTGGGTGCAGCACTGCATGACCGCGCAATTGTCAGTTAAAGTAATGCAACGCTGTATCGCAAATAATAACCTGTTCAGGAATCGGGGGGGGGGGGGGGGGGGGGGGTAAATATTCTGGAGTGGTTAATCAATGGCCACAAAAAATAAAAATCCATTTATTTGTGTGCCAAATGCCTTTATAAACCTAGATATCACCTTGTAAAAGTAGCAGTGGTATCATCCCTGTGCTGTACATAGCCTGTGCAGAGAGCAAAGCTGTGGGAGGGGCCCGTCAGGCCCCCACCCACAACAGGCTACCTGCAGAAAACTACAGGAGGGGGCGGAGACCAGACCAGTCACCCTGCACAAGGAGAGAGAGAACAGCGGTGAGTGGTCTTTATTACAGGAAGCAGGGAAAGTCTCACACTGGATTCCTGCTCAGATCTGGATGGAATACACAAATCACGCAGAGATTCCAGGAGGAATACACGTGACTTGTATGTAGAGAGGATTTACATATCCTGGAGTTCATTTTTAAAGCTCATCTCTAGAATGAAAGATATTATTGTCTGTCATATGCCGACCATGAGATCCTGGATTCTTGTTGTTTTCCCCATTTTGCTCATATGATGGGTTTTAAAAGTGAACTTAAATCAGATCTATTTTTATATGTTCAACACATGCATGCTAAGAAAAGCATCCGTGCAACACGTCTAGGTAATAATTACCTCTCGCAGAGATCCCAGCACTCCCCCCTGACACAATGCCTTCATCTGCTTTCCTCTGAAGGACAGCACCATCTTTGTTCTGGCATCATTCAGAGTCACCATGTACCCCCTAGACCAGGGGTGGGGGCAAACTTTTTGACTTGAGGGCCGCAATGGGTTCATATATTGGACCCGGGGGCCGGACCAAGAGTAGATGAATGATGTGTATGTGTCATCCATAGTAAGTATAGTAATATTCCCCCATAGTAAGCATAGTAATTAATCCCCCATATAGTAATTCATCTCCCATAGTAATTCATCCCCCATATAGTAATTCATCCCCCATATAGTAATTCGTCCCCCATATAGTAATTCGTCCCCCATATAGCAATTCGTCCCCCTTATAGCAATTCATCCCCCATATAGTAATTCATCCCCCATATAGTAATTCATCCCCCATATAGTAATTCATCCCCCATATAGTAATTCATCCCCCATATAGTAATTCATCCCCCATATAGTAATTCATCCCCCATATAGTAATTCATCCCCCATAGTAATTCATCCCCCACATAGTAATTCATCCCCCACATAGTAATTCATCCCCCATAGTAATTCATCCCCCACATAGTAATTCATCCCCCACATTAATTCATCCCCCATATTAATTCATCCCCCATATTAATTCATCCCCCACATTAATTCATCCCCCATATAGTAATTCATCCCCCATATAGTAAGTCCCCCATATAGTAAGTCCCCCATATAGTAATTAATTCCCCATATAGTAAGTCCCCCATATAGTAATTCATTCCCCATATAGTAAGTCCCCCATATAGTAATTCATTCCCCATATAGTAAGTCCCCCATATAGTAATTCATTCCCCATATAGTAAGTCCCCCATATAGTAATTCATCCCCCATATAGTAATTCATCCCCCATATAGTAATTCATTCCCCATATAGTAAGTCCCCCATATAGTAATTAATTCCCCATATAGTAAGTCCCCCATATAGTAATTCATCCCCCATATAGTAAGTCCCCCATATAGTAATTCATTCCCCATATAGTAAGTCCCCCATATAGTAATTCATTCCCCATATAGTAAGTCCCCCATATAGTAATTCATCCCCCATATAGTAAGTCCTCCATATATTAATTCATTCCCCATATAGTAAGCCCCCCCTGTGTCAATTCACTTACCTTTGCTCCTCCGCGCGTTCCTCTCGTATTCCCGCGCCGTTCTGGTCTTCAGGGAGGACTGTGAGAGAAGAGTTCGTCACGCTGCCCCGCCTACATCCTGGCTGCCCCGCCTACATCCTGACAGCTGCAGAGTCCTGACGCCCGAGAGAGGAGGGAGGGGGCGGCCATCCTAGAGGGGGGGCGGCCATCCGAGAGGAGGGGAGGGGAGAGGAGGAGAGGAGGTCGCCCGCCCCGCCCGAGAGGAGGGAGGGGAGCGGGCGCCCGGCACACAGGAGAGCCGCATCTATTGTAAAGAGCCGTGGCTTGCCGACCACTGGCCTTGCGGGAGCCTAGCTCCGCGGGCCGGATTAAAAGGTCCGCCGGGCCGTATACGGCCCGCGGGCCGTAGTTTGCCCATTGCTGCCCTAGACTGAGATGTCAGCACAGAGAGTCACCTAAACCCTGGAGCCTGTGTAGTGCTTGGCTGTGTTCACAAATGTCTAAAGCCAGGCATAGATAGATTGAACCTCGGCCTGTTCAACAGACTGGCTGAGGTTCGATCAATCTAAGGGCAGGCTGGTTGTACTAAAGTTTGATCCATTGATCAACTTCAGTACAGCCAGCCTGTTGGATTTTTTTTTTTTTTTTTTTTTTTGCATGTGATCATTGTGTTCTTCTGGCAGGGAAGGCTCCCCGCTGGCAGAAAACAGTAGCACTGCGGGAGGGAATCCCCCATGAAAACTGATTGGGTTGACAGGGGAAATTATCAATCTTCTTTCCTTCCACCTCGGGACTCGACAAATCCGTGGTGGCTGCCTGGGCTCACACACTACCTCCCTTTGACTTTAGTGCAAAGAACGCGTCCCTTTGACTTTAGTGCAAAGAACGCGTCCCTTTGACTTTAGTGCAAAGAACGCGTCCCTTTGACTTTAGTGCAAAGAACGCGTCCCTTTGACTTTAGTGCAAAGAACGCGTCCCTTTGACTTTAGTGCAAAGAACGCGTCCCTTTGACTTTAGTGCAAGGAACGCGTCCCTTTGACTTTAGTGCAAAGAACGCGTCCCTTTGACTTTAGTGCAAAGAACGCGTCCCTTTGACTTTAGTGCAAAGAACGCGTCCCTTTGACTTTAGTGCAAAGAACGCGTCCCTTTGACTTTAGTGCAAAGAACGCGTCCCTTTGACTTTAGTGCAAAGAACGCGTCCCTTTGACTTTAGTGCAAAGAACGCGTCCCTTTGACTTTAGTGCAAAGAACGCGTCCCTTTGACTTTAGTGCAAAGAACGCGTCCCTTTGACTTTAGTGCAAAGAACGCGTCCCTTTTGACTTGTATCAACAATTATCTCTCGGCATGCCACTCTACTCTATCACTTGAGAGTCTTTAATGCACCGCTACAAATTCACACAGTGCAAAAACATGCCCCATTGACGGTGGTGCACAAACCGCGCCCCATTGACGGTGGTGCACAAACCGCGCCCCATTGACGGTGGTGCACAAAACGCGCCTCATTGACGGTGGTGCACAAAACGCGCCCCATTGACTTATGTCTTTTCTCGGCATGCCACTCTACTCTATCACTTAAGAGTCTTTAACTCACCGCTAGAAACCCGCACAGGACCCTTTTCGTAATGGCATTCAAAACACAATGCATGTGGATCACATCTGTGTGAACCAGCTCAATAAAAGCACAAAATATCCAGCGTGTCATGCGAATCTGAGTTTGAAGACGCATCCAGAATCGCATATGTATGAACCAGGACGACGCCATTCGCATCTGGGCATTTTGGATCGCAGCAGAATCGCTGTGACCACAAAACACAGGTTCAGGTGCCATTATTTTCAATGGCTTTTAAAACGTGTGGTTTTGCCATGATTGTCGCATGGTAAATCGCATCGCGTGAAGCTTGTCACCCAAAAGTTGCCTTGCCCTGGGCGCTGACAATACATGCTACGCTAAAAAAAAACCTAGCAATTTTGTCAAGCCCTGTTCCACCTGTGGTGGAAGGAAAGAAAAATGGCATAATCTATGGGCTGCTTAACACACATCAGCCCCTGCTGCAGCCTCTAACCTTGATACAGAGTTAGTGTATTGTCTGATCACTGGGTGAGAGGAGACTGAGGAAATGCCCACTTCTGCCTGCAGCAGACTGATGACCTCATCTCAGCGAAGGCACAGTCACTAGACTGGAGCTTAATTATTGATTGTTAATAGTAGAAGGTGGAGCTTTTTGAACAATTATACTGTTGCTGGCTATTCAACACAAAGGGCATAGTATGGGAGGGGGGCAGAAGGGCACAGTACTGGGGGAATCAGGAGGGCACAGTACTGGGGGAATCAGGAGGGCACAGTACTGGGGGAATCAGGAGGGCACAGTACTGGGATCAGGAGGGCGCAGTACAGGTTCTGGGATGCTGCCAAGGCCATCCCGGGACAGCTTAGTAAAAAATGTGACTGTCCTGGCAAATTCGGGACAGTTGGCAATCATGATGTAATGCAAGATTATCATGGGCCCCTATGCATCTAGGGCCCTTGGGCAGCGCCCATCCATTAAGACAGCCCTGGATGGCTATGTATGGAGATGCCTTTCCAACTCTTTTCTGTGCAAGAGTCCTTGAAATGTATGTTGACGGTGCAGTTAGGTGTTTGGAAGACGTGTGGATGCACTCAGATTGTATTACTAGGTTGTACAACATCACTGGGATTTTCATTTTCTCTGATGACTAGGACTTTGACTTTTTATGAAAAAGTTTTTTTTTTTTTTTGTATTTATGAAT